TAACCTCCGCAATCTTTATCCTTAAAAAAAAAAGAAAAAAGAATTTATATATTCTCTATATATGGGATTGTCTACAAAGAAATCATTTATCTTTTGTATAAGAAGGGCACTATTATTCTTGTCTCTTAAATTTCAAAATGGATGATTGTAAGAGTGTTATTGAAAAGATACAAAGTTCTGAAAAAAATTCTCAAAAGATAATGCTTTTACATATACATTTACAACATAACATCCCCAAGGTTCCGGCGTCCAATGGTCGGGATGATTAGCGGAAAGAGTTTAGGAGTTCATAGTCTATTTTGTTTCAATATGCGTCCAATGATTATGATGTCGATCCAAAAATTTCATATAAAAAAGAAAGAAAAAATAATAATTTTTGATAATTTGTCCAAAGGAGTGAGAGTATAATGTGCTTTTGCTTGAATACACTGTATGCACCCCAGAAATAAACAAAGAATTATGTTTCTTTTTAATGAGTGGTCCTCCTTATGGTCTTCCGATACATCCTATGTCCTCATGAATCCATGACTTTAAATGGAGCATTTTTAAAGTTAAACATTTTTGCTTTTTCAAAATTCTAATTATGGAGGTTGAGATGATAGAGCTAGAGTCTTAGATCTTCAGTACATCTCCAAGGTGGAATTTGGAAGGGGGATGTTGATGTGTCCCCTACCCAACCTTTCTTTAAATAAACAAAGAGAGGTGTTTTATTTTTTGGGATTGTATAAAAAAAAAAAAAAAGAGTAAGTCGATGGGGATTTGGGCCCCCATCCTTTGCTGAGAATGGAGTCAGAAGCTTCATTATAAAGCTCGTTGGTACTACCACCAAAGCTCCAACTTATTCTCAATTTTTTGGATTGTATACGGTAAGACTATTTACCTAATGTACAAAGAGGTCACAATTACTCATTACCATCCAATATGAAATTTGAGAGCTTGGATGCCGTTTGGACACCACCACCTGCTAATGCATAGAAACTGAATTTTAATGGAAGCTTTTTTGGAAACCCAGACGCAGTTGGTTTTGGTGTATTGATAAGAGGCTACATAGTATGTGATTTGTTCATATTTTGTCCTTGTGATGTTGCTATAGTTAATGAAGCTGAACCTAGAGGTCTGTAAACTCTTGGCAAGATATGAGGGAGCAAATATCATAAAAGAGGATTTAGTAAACATTATAGTTTGGAGTAAAGGCGAAGCTAATGTTCCATGGAGGTTGACCATAATTTCTTACGAATTATAGGATATTCTTAAAATTGTAACAGCTGAAATCCACCATTGTAAATGCTAAAATCCATCATTGCTACTACGGAGGCTAATGCTGAAGCTGATTGTCTCACAAAAAGAGTATACCAATATTAAGTGGTGAGTACTTCCTTCTAATGACTTTGTTTGTATCTTGTAATTTATTTATTTTTAATAAAAAATCTTTGGTAATATTAAAATATATATATATATATGTGTGTGTGTCACATAGTTTGAAAATATTTCCTTTGAACTTGGTTAATTGGATAAATGTAGCCATCCAATTTCACATCTAAATGCTAAGATTAATTGTGACCAACTTAGCCATTCAATTTCACATCTAAATGCTAAGATTAATTGTGACCACCTTATATAAAAGGTAAATGATTTCATTGTATTTTTTCTATTTTTTTATTTTCTAACCCAACCTTTAAAAAAAAAAAAATTAAGAGAGAGAAAAACTCATGTTAGCCCATATTTACATGTGTATTTGAGGCATAGGTTTGGAGCGGATTGAGAGGAGGGAAGTAGAGAGAGGGCCGCGTAGGTTGACTTCATGAGCCATTCATTGTTTATTTATTTAGTGATGACGGTCGTCAAAATAATAACTACTTGTATTTGTAGGTTTTCTTAACCTGAAAACATGAGTGGCAAACAACCTACAATTAATATCCCTGCACTTTCTGCCTACGTAATCAGCCTTTTAAGGTCAAACCCCATCTATAACTAATCCTATACTATAATAATAGAGAAAGGGCAATTTATTGAGGTCACTTTGATCGGTGACGACTTTGGCACAGATTGAATTTGAATCGATTTAATGGTTATGATTGTATTTTATATTTAAATTTTAATTATTTTTTATAGATTAAAATTATTTGAAATTTGAAGTATTTATTCATGAAAGATAAGTGAATTTAATAAAAATATCAAAAAATAATTCATAAAAATTTAATAACCAAAATACGTATGTAATATTTAGGGTATTTAAGTTCATTTATTTATTTTAATATTTTTATTACATGCCTCTTGATGAGATGAGTGGTTGTCTTAAATATCATGTAACTTGGTTTTTTATTAAAAATATTTCAAATTCAAATATGAAATGCAATCGTGATCGTTCGATCGGCCCAAATTCCGTTTAGGTTATTGGGCTTATACTATTTCATCAACCCATTGGCTGACATGATCTTTTCTTTAGAGAAAAATATTTATCTTTTATATAAGAACTTCACAACTTTTCCTGAAATTAACAAGCAAGGATTGAGGGTTACCTTGGGACACACCCTTTAAATGTTCAATTTCACATTTAATGCCTAAAAATGATGTGACCTTGTAAAAAAAAAAAAAGGTTTTATAGTATGCAATTCTTATTACATATGTAAACCTTGCTCATTGAGGAATTATTTGCTCATAATCATTTTATACAATTTTGTCTCCATTATTTAGTCTTTATCATTTAAGTTTTCAAAGAAATTATAACAATCCGTTCATTAATTACTAGTTAGTAAGCATAGAAATTAGTATATTCCCCGTTTGTCATATTAAGTAGTAATTATCGTCATCAAAATATTTTTTCAACTAATTAAAATTAGCTACACGAATTTTAGTTTGTTAATCTGCTCTAGTATGAGCCATATCCTCGTACCAATATTAAGTAGTAATAAACATAAAAATTACTATAACCCCTATTGTTTTATTCAGTAATAAATCACTGTTTTACAAAAAAACATGTTTATCGGTTCATATTCCCTTATTCCTCAAGATTAAGAGGATCTTGGGTTGAGGAAAAAAAAAAAGCATTTTCATTACTCGTAGGCTTGCGGGGCTCTGTGCAAATACCTTACGTCTTATCTTAAAAATTTACAGTTGGTGAGAAGGAAGAACATTATTTGGTATTGAAGGAGACGGCAAGAGTATGTTTGTCATGAATATCGTTTACATAATATCTCAATTTTTTTTTTTTGAAAGGTAACATAATTCTTTTTTCTTATCAAATTTGAATTTATGTGTGCACACTCTTATGTGCATTTTGGATTGTGCATTTTTGGAGTCTGTATAAAATGGGATTGTCTATAAACAGACCATTAATTTTTATTACAAGGAGATCACAACAATTCCTATATATTAGATGTCAAATTGGATGGCTTGGGGTGAGTCATGAAATCTAAGATTTTTTTTTTTTTTGGAACTTTGTATCCATTCAATGACACTCTTACAACAACCCATTTTGACAATCCCATATAAAATTGCTTAAGCATCTCCCGGACATGGACTTATCCCTAGCCATCTATACGCTATTTGACTAGATTTCTTACTAGTATAGTAAAAAGTGAATATACAAGCAAGAAGTTCATATAAAGTTGATACTTTAAATTGTGGCAATTAAGGTGCACCTCAAAAATACATTGAAAATTGTTGTTATGATGTTGGAAAATCATCGAATTGATCATCTTGATATTGAGATGTACGGATATAGAGAAAAAAATATTTTTAATTCTTAAATTTTGCACATCTTGCAATACATTATCTGGACAATTCATTTTCAAGATTTTCATGCATTTATAGATCTGTTTGATTTGAACCATTTTTCTAGTTTAAATTTTTATAACTAGTAATGAAAATAGATTTTCCAATCATCCTAAAAAACTTCAACACCAAAATTGCATCTTATAACAAAGCTTGGAGATGTGTCTTACCTTGGTAGTTTACGGTTGCAACCTCATGCAAACGACACTTGATGCAAATAAAATTTAGGAAAAATTTAATAATTTTATTATTTTTTTAATTTATCTTTTTAGGAATGGGTAGCATGAGTTTTTAAAAAATGCAGTGTGAGTTAGTTTTTTTAGCTTATCTTGTATTAAAGTGGCATAAAATATTTAGTTAAATTTAGTGAGAGATTTAAAGGTTATTTAAATATGTGACAGCTAAGAGATTTAGATATGGAGAAAATCAACATGATAACTATTGAGATCTGGAGAGTATTTGAGAGACAGAAAAAGTGAAAGAGAAAATAGATACGAGAGATAAAATAGGAGAAAGTACCTAGAAGAGAGAAAGAATTATTTATTGTGGATTTTCTTTATTTGTTTATTTTTAAAAAAAATTCTATTTAAATGGAAGAAGTCCCTTCATAAAGTTTAGAGACTGATAAGAGAATGTGAATTGAGTAATATTTTTTTAGATGAATTCCTTTGCAGACTTTATGATAGGGTATATTCTCTTAACTTTTTTATTTTATTTTTATTTTTGTTATTTTCTCTTTGCATCAATACCTTTCTTTAAAAACATTCTAGTCTCCAAGTACCTAATTATAGAAATCCATTGATGTCTGAACTGCCAAGTGGATCTAACAGGTGCAGTCCATGTCCACTTGACTGCCAAGTGGATCTAGCAGGTGCAGTCCATGTCCACTTGACTGGTGGAGCCCTTCTAGATCTTACTTGAACCTATTAGGGTTGGGGTTAGTGTAAGCTTGATCCATCTAATATATATATATATATATATATATATAGAATTTTGATACAAAGATGTCATAATCATCCACTAAATTCAAAAATTCCAATAAATTTTTTTTGAATTTTGTAACTCACCTCAAACCATATGTAATATGTAAAATTAATTGGGGTTACAAATTAAAGGTGGGGGTGACATTTAGACGCGTGGATTTCACTTTTCTTTCAATATTTTAACTTGGTACAAGAAATTACGGTCTGAAATCTTAACCTGTGTGTGTGTGTGTGTATATAGAGTGGGGCCACCGTCCCACTACTCTCGCTTCTTTAATTGAAGGCCACTGCACGGCTGTAGTAGCACAAGCACAAGTAGACAGTGTAGAGAGGAGAGGAAAGAGAGAGTGATGGAGTCGCAAAGGTTGATGATGGTGCCTGTGGGGTGCATGGAGAAGCAAAGAAAGAATAGAAAGAGGGGTGGGAGTGATCTCCACAGCGTGCTATGCATGCAGGGTGGAGACGACGATGGCAGCTATGCCAAGAACAGCGAAGCCCCGGCCTCCGCCATTGCGTTGGCCGAGCCCCTTCTCGTCGATGCCCTACTCAACGCCATGACTGCCATCAAAACCGGGGACATGAGCATAGAGAGCTCGGACACTGCAGTAGTGAGAATAGCAGACCTGGGTTGCGCCACTGGCCTCAACACCCTTGCCACCGTCGACCTCATTGTCCGTACCCTCCAACAGAGGCGTCGATTTTGTTCTGGAATGGAGTTTGAGGCCTTCTTTGCCGACCTCCCCTCCAATGACTTCAACTCCCTCTTTCGCTTGCTGCCTCCCCTTTCCCTTTCGGACTCTGAGGATGCTGATGCTGATGAAGATGGACGGAGGTATTACGCAGCAGGGGTTGCGGGGTCATTTTACGGCCGCCTCTTCCCCAAGAGGAGCATCCATGTCGCGGTCAGCTTGAGCGCCTTGCACTGGCTCTCTCAAGTAACAATTACTTTCCCTTTAACTCGTCTCATTCGCCCTGTAAACTCATCTCCCCTTCATTCTCTCTCTCTCTCTCTCTCTCACTCTCTGTAAACTGATTTCGCCTCTGCCACGCTGTTGTATTGATCTGTATGAAAATTTGCCATAGTCATGAGGAGCTAGCCCTCACATGATACAATATTCATGGTGGTTTTTCGACAGATACCGAAGCGAGTATTGCAGAAGAGTTCGGGGGCATGGAACAAAGGAAGGGCGTGGATCGATGGGGCGGAGGCGGATGTGGTGGCAGCATATGCTCGGCAGTCGGAGGAGGACCTGTTGGCGTTCTTGAGGTGCAGAAGGGAGGAGATGGTGGAGGGCGGTCTGCTCTTTCTTCTGATGGCAGGTAGAGATGGGTCACAAGGCGCTGAGAATCAGCTGGGAGACCCTGAGTCAAGGGCCAAGCACCCTTTCACCTCGTCAATGGATGAGGCATGGCGTGATCTGTTAAATGAGGTGAGTCTATTATTAGTATACATTTACTGCCTTTATCGTTGTCATCTACTCAACTCCTCTCTGTCCTCAAGGCCACCTTACCTTGTCTTTCATCATCATCGCAATCCTCTCTATCTCTCTCTTATATGAGATTGCTCTCTCTGTCTCTGTCTCTGTCTCTCATACATGACATTTCTCTCTCTCTCATGAGATTGCATGCCAGTACTGGTTTGGTTGGCTTTTGGCAGTTCATGAATTTATTGTTGCACCCGGCTTTTAGTGTAAAAGTTCAGTGTTTTTTGAAAGCTGAGTAAGCCCATTACTTGCCTTTTAGACATCTTTCCCATGTTGATGGAATTGTTTATGAGCTTTAGGTTTTATACCTTTTCTTTTTTTTATTTTTTATCTTTATTTTTTTCCTTTTTTTTTTGTTGGCTAAGCCCAATGAGTTGCCTTTTCACATCTTTCACATATGCATGGAACTTACCCCCCACCCCAACTTACCATTTAGAATGAATATGATCTTGTCACTTGATTTATTTAGTGAAAAAAGTTCATCTAAGGTGTTAGTCTCATACTGTACGAGTAAAGCGCACCTAAAACACCCAGTAGAAAAGGTTGTTTTTACACAGGAAAATCCTCAAATCGATCATCTCGGCCTCGAAAAACATAGATATGAAAAAAGGGGATTTCTAGTCCTAAAAATAGTTCATCTTCTAACATGTTATCTTGACCATCAATTTTCGAGATTTTCAAGTGTTTATAGATTTTCTTAATCATCACCATTTCTGAAACTTTACATTTTATAATTGGTGGCAATAATAGATTTTCGTATCATCACAGGCTTTGCAGCACCAGAACTGCATTTTCAACATAGTCTTGAGGTGCACCTTACTTCAATAGTACAAGGTTGACACCTTATACCAACCTCACCCTTTTTTAATATACAAACCTTGGACTTGCCCTGTGCTGTTTTGATATGTTTGATCCTGGACCATTCAGTTTTTCTTAGCACACTTAAAATATTCTCAAGATTAAGTCTGATTTTCCACTGTTTGGTAAGTACATATCAGGTTTTCAAGAAGACTATGAACTTTTAAATAACGGCAGCACCGTTATTAGAAGTTTCTTGATTGTCTCCATCTCTCTGTTTTTTTCATCTTGAAACATACTGTGTTTTCTTCATTTCACATAAATTTACAAGGGATTCATGCCATGGGGATCACTCACTTCATTCTATCAGATGAAGGAGATGGATCCGTGTTTGTTTTGGAGAAACTACAAGTCTGATATGATCCTGGTGTAGGGATTGATCGACGAAGAGATGAGAGATACATTCAATATTCCGGCGTATATGAGGAGCATCGAAGAGGTGAGGAGGGCTTTCGATGAGTGCGGAGGCTTTGAGGTGAAGAGGGCAGAGTATGAGAGGATCATTGAGCATTCAAGGGAAAAACAAGAGCAGTGGATTAGGAGCCCAGTTTCATATGGCAAGGCTAAGGCAAACTTAGTGAGGGCCACTCTCAAGCCTATTATTGAGGCCCACATTGGGCCAGCTCTCTCAGAGGAGTTTTTCAATAGGTTTGAGAAGAGAGTATCAGAGGACATTGGGATGCTTCACAAGACTTGTTTCTATGGTGTCATTGTTGTGGTTGCCATAAAGAAGTGAGAAGTTCCCCTGCTTGAAAGAAAAATGGAGGAGCATAACTTGAACATTCTTGTTGCATTCTATATTTTTTTTTCTTTTTGGTTTCATTTTCTATCTGTTAGGGATGGTGGAGGGGGAGAGATGGGTGGTCAATAGCACATATCTCTCTCATGTGATCCTACCTACCTATTGTTAACTAATAACACCCACCTTCAAGAAAATAATGAAAAGGGGTCTTGTGTTTTGAGCATATGCTAATTTTTCTATATGGATTTTCTTAAGAATTTTGTTGCTTTCTTTCTAGATACATAAATTTTATTAATTTCATCTTTCTAATTTGTTTTTTTTGTTTCACTACTGTATACAGCATAACAATTTGGATGGACCACTATTTTACATTTTTGGGTTTATATAGTTTAGTTAATTGCAATCCTCAACTAAAGGTCATTTTTTGTTTTTCTCTTCCAATGATAATCCCTTACCTTCTGCTTTTGTTTTTTTTGTTAATGTAGCTCTTGTGTTTAATATTGTTGTTGTTGTTTTGTATGCTCCTAATAATTCAATCATATGTTTTGAGTCGTGACAACAGAGTAAACATTGTTATTGTATTTGCAGAATGTTTAAACAAAAATTTGTGAAGTATGACATTAATGATACTAGGCAAGGACATAAAATTTATAGTTCAATGGTTTTAATGCATCCATATAATACCTGCAACTCATAATCTTATATGGGGGGATCATCATCCCTACTGACTTATTAAAAAAAAAACCTCATAATCTTACATTGTGTTAGCTTTATATATCCAATTCTTTCACTCGGTTTTTTTTATCCAAATATAAAATATTCACGATTCTCTAACTCAACTACTTTTTGAGATATATACTTTTGACCGGAATATTTGCCTCTGACTTTTTGGAGCAAAAACGATTTATTAATAATATTATGATTTACCGATATATTATTATTCCTCGACCTGCTAACTATGGTCCAAACTTAGCCTTGGGTATGGCTAGGGAAGGGCAAGTTGAGAGTAGGTGGGTGCAATGTCTATTTGCTCTCCCCATATGAGGAGAACATGGATGATTAAGGAATCGAAGCTTTTAGAGTTCAAGCTTATTCAAAGAGACTAATTTTGTGGTACACAAAAAAGTAAGCTAAAAGTAACCTTTGGCTCTTTCTAGCCTACTAAGGATAAATTTTGTATACAAAGTCGGAAAAGTGAGGGACCACCTCACCTTAGACTCTCGAAAACCCTAATTGGACCCTTTGTTTTTAAGGGTTTAGGGTAGGGTTGGGTTTGGGTGTGGTGTCATAATTTCCCACACACATTCATTGATATGAAATGGAATCTCATGGACTACTCAATTTCAAAGAATGAAAATCTTGGAAGACATCATCCATAACATCATCCACTATAGAGAGAGGGCGCGTGATGTACTTGAGGCCTGATGTACTTGAAAGAAAAGGGCACATCCCATTAATACCCCCATCACCAATCAGCCGGTTTCGGGCCTTTTGGATGCCTAGCTCTGGTTGATCAAAAAAATGTTAAAAAAAATAAAATTTATATTTAAAGTAATAATTAAACAAAACACATTCAAATGGATTTGATAGTGAAAAAATAGATTTTAAAAACACCATTTGTGTCTAAATGTATTTTTGAAATTTTTAAAAATTGAAAAAAATGTATAAAATAAGTATTCATGATCAAAACATTTTCCAATCTTTTCCAAAATAACACAAAAAAATATTTAAAAACTCATTACAAACAAATCCCTTATTATTTGAGATTTTATATAAATTTTTTAAGTTTTTTTTAAAAATACTCCATGAGAACACCAAAACCGGTCACCGACTGGTTCCTAGTTGAACCGACCGATATTGCAAACACTACCTCTAACACCAGAATCTTGCCATGGGCCTTGTTCCTCGAGTTGTGCCCATGAATAGTAGCGGGTGGCCGACTTACTACTGTAGGGCAGTTTTATTACCGTGTGGAGAAATAGGGCCAGGCAAACAGGGCTTGAGCGAAGAGCACTTGAAGTAACCCCTTCTCTGTGAGAATGGCCCAAAAACACAGTAAAATTTGCATCAATTATATGGAGTGATCATCGTCAATAATTGATGAGTGGGTTATCCATGAAAGCAGTTGCAACTAGTGAGTTGGAAACGAGGTTATGGAGGTAATGATTGGGTGGGATATGATAGGTCAAGAAAACGGGAGCCATGAACCCAAGACCCGACCTCGGGTCCAGGGGTTGGACTTGGACCTGACGGGTCGGGTCATAGTTCAATAGCCAATACCCGAACCCGATTCCGGTCCAGGTGTTACCCGATTCCGATCCGGGTTCAAGTGTTTTTTGAGTTACGATTTTTTCTTTTTTTCTTTTTTTTTAAATGTAAAAATTGATTTTCAGGTCAATTTCGAATCGGGTCTGGCTGAAGCCGGACGCAGACCCATCACCACCCCCTTCATTTTCTTGCAAGGTTTTGATTGCGGCCAGATTTTGGCCCAACAAAAATAGATACAGGGATGGAGGAGAAGGATTCTTTTGAGAAATGAGTGAAATATGAGATAGGCGATTGGGTTTAAAGCTTTTGTAGCAGGAAAGTTGTGGGGCCTCTCTATCACACGTCCCGTCAGTCTGTTATGTTATTCCGGTCATCCTTTGGTCGTCCCTGGTCTTCCCCATTATGTAGTGGCTTCTAGAGGGCCCACTCATGTGGGATGTACTCATCTTTTTGCACATTATTTGAGGATTCGAGAAATTTGTGATATAGATTCGAATTGTTCAATTTGAATTAGATTTTTCGTTGTTCATTCTGAATTTTGTAATATATCGAGATCCAATGCAGTCTTTCAAAATCAGCTAATTTAGAGTGGTCCACACCGATAGGGGTGGCAACGGGTCAAGTCCAGCTGGACCCGAACCTAGATCTGAATAGTAATTGGGTTTAGGTTTTGAACTTAGATCCGACCATCAAGTCCAAAAGTTGGACCCCATATCGATACCCGTCAGGTCCCAGGTCTATCACGTCCTGGTTGGGTCTACTGTGACCCTCACTATGAGATTCTTTTTCTTTTCTTTTTTGTTTTTTTTTATCATCATATATCCATATTATTGACAACAATGTCACAATCACCCGATATTAGAACCCATATTATTGACTACAATGTCACAATCACCCGCTATTAGATTTTAAGTCATTCGATATGTTGTTTCATAGCTAAAAATGACTACAAGTTCTTATTGTATCAGATTCCTTAAAACGCCCAAACGAATAAAGCTTCGAGTATTTTATCTCCAACAAGTTTATGGATACGGGTCGAGTCAATCCTGACCCTAACTCAAATAGTATTCGAGTCCAAGTTTTGAACCTAGGCCCGACCTGCCTAGTTCAAGTATTGGATATATACCCAAACCCGTGTCAAGTATACCTAATGGGTCCCAGGTCACATGTCTCCCGAGTCAATTGCCACCCTTACATATCGATTCTATTACCGGTTCTCATATTTTCAATAACTTTTTTTTCAATTAAAAAGCATAGTGATGGCTCATGGCCACCAATATGCTATGCACATGTAGTGATGGCCCACCTAGCTATGTCCATCGGTGAACTTGACAAAGAAAACACATGGCGGTTGACTTGCTAATATTCAAATATGGCTGCCCTTTCCCAACGCGCGTTTCAACCAATTGCAACCGTTAAGGCCCTTTATGCGCCCTTTCCCATCGGATCCCTCCGACCTTTTTCTAATGTGGGACAATTCTTCTTTGTCTCTTGTATGATAGTGAACAATGGTTTAAAAAATGGATCGGTGATCCGGATCGGGTACCTAAAAAATCGATTATGATCGGCGAATCGACGATTCGGATCAGGAATCGGGTGAATCGGTCAGAATAAAGCTTAAAAAAAATCCGAAAAAATTATTAAAATTCACTATATATATTGTTTTTTAAGAATTCAATAAGAAATGAGGATACTCCATTAAGAATTTTCATGTTTTTGAATGAATATGAGAAAATTGATATGTTCTTTCCCTGCATGAACCGTCATTCAGCATTTAATTTACATCACACAAAAGGATAAACATAGAATTATCATGGAATGAATATATCAACATACATGGACTACAATAAAGCATAAAATTAGTAACATATGATCTAAAAATAAAATGATAGATGACGTTATTGTTCTTCTTGGTCACGCTGGTGCCATTGATTGAATTCGTTTAACAATTCATTGATTCGATTTAAAAACGAATCATCGATAGTAGCAGGCGCCTGACTATTCACAAATCCTTGAGTGTTAATGTTTTGTTGTGTTCCCAATCCAAAATCCCCGAAGCTTGTCCATCCTTCATGCGCACCTGCACTGTCGTGCTCATCCCTACACTGTTGCTGTTGGAACTCGATATGTAAATAATATGGCTGGGATAAGGTGGCCTCAGAATCATCATCTCTCTCATTTTCTCTTTGAATAATATGGATTAAAAAAAAAATAACAAATTTTCAAAAAAATCAATCATGGATTTAAAAAAAAATTCACAAATTTTCAAAAAATTCTATCATGGATTACAAAAAAAATTCGATCATTGATTAAAAAAAAAAATCACAAATTTTCAAAAAATTCAATCATGGATTACAAAAACTTCGATCATGGATTACATAAAATTCGATCATGGATTACAAAAAAAAAAAAAACATAAAAAAAGAAAAAATTCCATCGTGGATTACAAAAAAGAAAAAACAATTCAATCA